TTATTATTATTATTATTATTATTATTTTGTGAATTAATTTATTTTTATTTGTATGATTAGTTGCACCATAGATATGATTATCTCTAGTAGTCTTGTAGGTACCATTCACTTATTTAAGTAATTAAAAGTTTCGACCAAAAAAAAAGAAGTAATTAAAAGTGGGTAAGAGGTCTTAGGTTTGTCAAATCAAAGCTGCCAAGTGGATGTAGCTAGCTAATTGATTAGCAAGGACAAAGCAAGAGCTTGTATTAAAAGCTAAATACAATGTTTGGAGGACAAAAGAGTTGGGCCCTACTTGACTGATCTTTATCATTAGCCTTTCTTCTTCTTCCTTTTAATATTTCTTAAAGCTTCCAAAAAAAAAAAAAAAAAAAGATTCCAAATTCTAGTGTCAAAGGATCAATTTTAGATTATACCGAACGAAAAATAAATAAATAAAAGAAAATGCTTGTAGCATGGTCTTGAGTGGTGAACTTTTGCTGCTGAAAGCAGTGCTATTTGGCATCTTGCTTTTGAAAGCATCTTAAAATTATTATTTTTGGGTCGAAACGCACTTTCATTAACGAAAGGGAAAGGTAAGGGTAAGATGATGAGTGAGGAAAAAAAAAGAAGGTAAATTTCCACATCATGATTGATGACATTAATATATGACCTATGTGTCTTGATTGTGTAACTTTTAAGCATTCATTTCCAGATTTCAGAATGTTTGTTAGATGCTTGGATTGGATTGGATTGGATTGTATCGTTTCATTTGGATTTGAAAATGCTCTTTATATCTGCATGAAAATATTTTTATAGAAACTCATTTTCAAACCTTTTTTTTTATACATTATTTTTTTAGTACAAATGAAGCGATAGTCTAAATTACAAGAGAGAAGGTTTCTCACACACACTATAGTCTAAATTACAGGGGAGAGGGTTTCTCACATACACACTACTGCGGTGTCATGGGGGTTCGAACATGAGACCATTAGTTGCAACAAAACTTGGTGGTCTACTATTAAATTTTCTTTTTCCCTTTCAGTTCTTTATTTTTTGTTTTTTTGTTGTTTTTATTTTAGGCTTATTTTGTTAAAGGGTAAAGTTAGGATTAAAAGTAGCATGATCAATAGAGGTATGAGCATGGTTCATCTTAGGTTCAAAGTCTCACGGACACATATAATCACTGTAACAAAAATAGACATTATTTTGGCCTAAAATAGAATTCTCAAATATACGTAAGTGTCTTGGATATTTGTTTGACCTTTTGTGTATATATATATATATATTTTTTTTTTGTTGTTAGTTGAGAAATTGGGGCAGTAGGCCCACATAAAGCCCAAGGCCATGGAGATCAATTCAGACACAGAACAGCCCACTTAAAGCCCAAGGCCTGCAGCGGCCATTTCCAACCTCTGCCACTGATGCAGTGTAGAGTATGAACTAAAAGTGACTGATTCTACTTAATCCCAGTGAGAAAACAGAGCAATTATCCAAGAGTGAAATATACTTGAGAGTTATGATTGCCCCTTTTACATTTTAACATAAGTTTGTTAAGCCATAGTGCTAACCTTAGCAATTGGTGGCTACATGTTACTGTGGTAATAGTTGTCACTTGGTTGTTAATGAAGCTTCAGTTTAATCGAAATCCCATAAGTTTTCGGGTTGATTATATTGGTTTTGGGTAATGTAGGATTACACTGGTAAGCAAGTAACCGCCACGAATCTGTATGCAGTTCTTCTTGGGGACAAGAAGGCTGTGAAAGGTGGAAGTGGTAAGGTTGTGGATAGCAAACCTAATGACAGGATCTTCTTATATTACTCGGATCATGGGGGTCCTGGTGTTCTTGGTGAGTTCAGTCCCTTTTCTTTTACGTTCATACCGTATCATTATTATTTTTTTATTTGTTACATAAGAGGGGATTGAATACTTAACTCTATCCTTAAATCCTAATCCTAACCCACTTTCGACCGTTGGCTAACCCAACTGCTTATATTGTGTCATTATTTTCATTTTTGGACAGTATTATATCACTGGATGTTTTTATAAATATTGTATCACTATTTGATTCATACCTCCTTTAAAGGGTATTTTTCTTTCTTGGTTTGCAAGAG